ATTCGAACCCGCGACCCTCAGATTGCGAGTCGAGCGCCTTATCCACCTGGCCATGCCGGGCGTCTGTATTTTATATCCGATTCAATTTATGTAGGCTAACACATGAATTTTGATCATGGTAACAATGGAATCGAGAGTGGACAATAATACTTAGTTCACTATAACGTGGGAGAAAGTGCAACTGTATCTCGATAACAATGTAACTTTGCATTCGTTTTTAAATGTATCGAGTTGAAAGCAGATATAAGACCATAAATCAAAGATTACCAACACACAAAACGCTCAAAATAAAATATATAATTCTAAGTAATATTCATTTCCAATCAAACCAAGTTACCTACTTAGAGCGAAACTAAGAACCAACCTGGTAAATTAAATATTTTCTTACGTTCTTACTTATAATAATTAGAATTCATTGTTCCCTCAGTTAAGTTCACTCGCTGTTAACGCATTTTCGGTCGTAGACCCAATAATACCTCCCGAGGTTTGTCCAGCTTGTGAAGTTGAGCTTAGTCCTAAATCCATATATTAAAATAACAGTGCAAAAAATCTCAACAAGAAAAGTTAAAAAGAATAAAATTAGATCAAATCATGTCAGTGAAAGTAATATTAAATAAATTACAGACTAGCTTACTAGCTAAACATTAGAAAAAGCAATAATAATTAAGCAAAATTCGTCTATTTCTTTGATACGGTTCTGAATTTCGGAGAGGTGTAGTCCCATATTTTGATCATACAAACAGACATCAGTGTGAAAATACATTTCTCTACATTTGATGAAAGAATAAGAAGAGAAATAATTTCCCTTGAATTGGCGGGAATCTGACAGTGGCGTTGGGAGAGGGCGACAATACATGCAACTTTTTTAGAATTGACATGTTAAATGTAATCGTATTTCACGATTGGAAATAATCAATGGGTAGACATTGAAAAGATGTTTTTTTTTGTATTGAGATTAAATTTCATTATTTTGATGAAATGTAAATGGTTTTATCATTTTATAAATTATTTTTTATCCTTTTTAGTAAAAATTTTAATTAAGCTTCTTATTTGAAAGTACACGGGTCTAATGCGATACATTTTTAGGGTGGTTGCATAAAATTTGTTTCATTATTTTTATAGGTTTCAACATATTGATTTTCAAATAAGTGAGTTTTATTATGAATTTAATCGTTGATAAAGATCATAACCTTAAAATGATATTGTGGGGTTGGGGGCCCAGAGCCACATGCTTGGTTGATACAGTACCGAGTATCGATCAGTTTGGAAACAAGAATTAACTAAACGTAGGAGCAGAGTTCAATTGTAAGGATTCAGCCAAGGAAAGGTGAAGGCAGTTAGTCTTACTATTAGAAATATCTATATGCAACATGACACGAGAGTGGTAGGCATGAATAAATCTCATTGTACTATATTCCACTTGTTCAGCTTACCGAATGAGATAAACTGATTTATCAGATGTGCATTTGCAGACTCGTATAATGAACCCATAAAATGCTTTCATTATTATTAGATACTAACACAAACGCCGACCTACGGGCCGCTCTTTCTGCTAATAATGGTACTAATCGTAGTATTCATAATTCATAACTTCACAATTTAGAAAAACTTAACATTTTCTAATATTTTTTTTTGGGGGGGGGAGTGTTCGGATTGTGCTTATTAGTAATACGAAACTCATTGCATCAAAATGATTCAATGTATAGAGCTCAAAATTGTTATAAATTTTACTGGTATAAACTTTATTTTTTTATCTATTAAAAGTAGTACCGTTTATTGAAAATAAAAAGATTTTTTTAATTCCAGTTTCTCAGTTCTACATTTAAAAATTACATCAATAAAGATATCAAACCCTCATCTACAGTCCTAGTGAAAGTCGTGTTCTTGTTGTGAGAAGATACTTTTATTTAAAATTGTGTTCTATTATAAAGAAGTGGTTGTTGCACATACCACAGGTACTTTTCTAATTGTCTGAATCTTGAATACCCAAAGCGTGAATTTTTTTATGTATTTTTGTTTGTGGTGCTATTCAATAGACGGTGCAGGAGTTTTGGTTACATACATAGATACTGACATACACGCTACGTCCATTATAGTAAGAAAATTAGACTCATCATGAGTGGATTCAAAAACTTAGTGAGGCATAAAGACAACCAGTGCAAAAATTGAAGGACTGCTTTCAATGGGATACATTTAAACTGCATCGCAAAAATCCAAACAGTGAAAAGGTACATACAATTTACAAGAGGCCTCATAAAAAAGCTGCAAATGGTATAACTATGATCACTTCAATCAGAAATGCTTCTTCACCTAAGTAATCTTCCAGCAGCTATACACTTTGAAAATCATACTTGAAAATATTTACTGATTGTGCTATTAAACAGTAGAACTATGTTTCATCCTGTTACCTGTGTCACCGAGTTAAAACCTGGATTACTACTACTGGAATCAGATGATGGAAAAAATACGTCATGGTCGTGATTGGATATTTTTCCAAATATCATGAAGCTTATTCTTTGCCAAACCAAAAACTAAAGCATTGGCTTAGAATTTTGTCATTGATATTATACTGAAATACAAAACACACACGAAACGTAGAGTTTAATTTGAAAGACTTTGCTCTTTTTATTGCACAAAAGAAGAAAAATTCCCAACAATTATGCTTGTTGAAGCAAAAATTCTTATACTTTCCTTATACACTTAAGTTGGATTTCTTACTCAATGTTTGAATCTTTTTCATTCTCATAAGAATCTAGTTAAAGACCTAATGCGTAATAGTACGATTTTAAATTGAACCTTTTTGTTTGCAAAGTGAATTAGAATGTTAATAGTTTACTATTTTCTCTATAAATTAGGGTATGTCTATGTAAATTATAGTGTAATATTCAACTCTCCGTTTTTAACTTTTACATCGTATATTTATTACATGTCACATGAACGAGGTAAGTGTAAGAGGGAATGGGATGATTTGAACAATAAGTAAATTGTATGTAAATTCACAACCTTGATTGTACTGGATGACTAAACATACATAAGAACTGAACTTTAGCCTGCTGGCGTCTCGAATTATACGTGTAAGTGTAGACTAACTAAACCAATTTCATAAACTTATGTTTTATTTTTGCCAGAAAGGCTATGAATTATTTGCAAACTTCAATATTTAATTTTGCATAGCGCATCTAAATGGATACTAATGTCAACTTAAATTAGTAATGTAGGGGGCACTGAGAACCGAGAGTAATTTTATGCCGTGATTTATTTTATGATAATCTAACCTGTATAAAAGCCAGTGTGTGTCACGTCACGCTTGATTTCTCGAAATAGAAGGATTCATAAAAGCCAAAAAACATTTATTCAGATAGAATAGTTCGCTTACTTTCTGTCTGCCCATTACGATTTTAGTGACGGGGGTTCAAGGGGACCGTGAAACTTTATAAGTGTAGAGAATGTTGGTATGATAAACCTAAAGTAAAGACGTAGTGTGGGATCACCTAGCCTAGAGCCAAATGCATAAAATTTATCATGAAAGTAAAAATATCGATTCAATTTTAAACTTAAAACGTTTCTGTAATAAGCTGTTTTCTGTCATATCACCAACGTTTTAAATAAAAAACAAACCTCTTTAATCAGCAGAGACTTCATGTTAAGAATTCAACAAATATTTTTCATTTTATACTATCAGTACATAGACTAACAACAATATTAGGCTATACTTTTGTTGCTTAGTAACATGACATAAAAGCCATTGTTGGAACGTAGTATTACCAAAACGCACTAGCTTTTCTATATATTA